ATTTCTGTGGGTCGTCAATGGTTGTGGAGAGCACCAACCTGAATATTTTGGGGGTCACAACTCTAAAAGGTTGCACTATATGACCAAAACCTTTTCAAGGTTTGGGCCCTTTAGTGTAGTTCAAATAAAGGGAAATCTAAACCTGAAATGATATTTTAGACAACGGCATGCTTTTAACATTATTGCAACAGTTTCAGGAAGGTCCTTTCCTGTTTCAAACTTGATAATGCCCCGTGCACAAAGTCAGGTCCATTAAGAAATGGTTTTCACGGTTTATTGTGAACTTGAATGGCCTGCACAGTATATGATCTGATCTGATCTGATCTTAACTCTATCCAACACATTTGGGATAAACAGGAATGCCGACTGTGAGCCAGACCTTATCACCCAACATCCTTGTCCAACCCCACTAATGCTTTTGTGGCTGAATGGGAACAAATCCCTGCAGGCAAGTTCCGGAATCTGGTGGAAAGCCTGAAACCAGAAGAGTGGGAGCTGCATATTAATGCCCACATCAGTGTTATATAGGTGAAATGTTTGGGTGTGCACGTACTTTTGGCCATGAAGTGTGTAAGAGAGATTAAGAATATCAAATACATTTTATCAGAATCACAAATTATAAATTTGCCTGAAGGGCTTTACAATCTGTACATCAACCTTTTTTCTTTGCACCGTTAATTCAGATAAGGAAACTTCCACCAAAAAATTACTTTAACAGGGAAACATGAAAGAAACCTTAAGAAGGAAACAGTAGAAGGACACCACTCTGAGGACAGGCATACATGTTATGTGTACAGAATATGAGATCAAAAAAGACGTGTAAGAGGACAGTCTACACACACACACAAGAGCAAAGCTCAAGCACACCACTCACGAAGAGTCAGTCACACACAGAGGGAGAGAGAGACAAGGACAGCATGCACACAAGGGAGAGAAAGAGTCAAAGATTAGAGGCTGAATCTCCTGGAAGACAAAGATCCAGATGCAAAATATCTGGGAAGAGGCAGGGGGCAGCCAGGGGAGAGAGAGAGGTCTCAGGACAGCCGATGGTCCAGCACAGAGAAGCGTGATTGAAAAAAGAGAGCAAGGAGTAGAAAAGGGGGAGGACGGATAAAGTGCCAGAAGAGCATAAAAGTTTGTTTCTGTAATCGTTCTAAAAAAAAAAAATCAATACGAAATCAACTTGGGCAGTTTATGTGTGTGTGGTGTATTTTGTGGATTTGTCTGTTTTAATTTGAATCTAGACTTTGTTTTGTATTGCATGTATTGTGAATATTCCCCCACACACATTGTTTTTTCTGCTTTTTAAACTGCATATAAAATGTGAGTTGCTTTTGTTGTTAAGTGTTCTTTGGTTGTAGTTTATGTAGAGTTATATATACATATGCATATATATGTATATATTTGACACTAACTACAGATGATTATTACAACATGATATTGTTGTATTTTTACAATAATTTTGTCACTTGTTTCTGTAGAAACATAATACATACAAGGATTTTCATCTATATTACAGTACAATAATTACCGTATACTACTGTGAATTTAATGCAATTATTAACCAGTAATTTACTGTAAAAGTACAATAATATATTTTACAGTGAAGTTATTGCCCTTTTTTCTTAACTGAGATGTGCTGTGATGTTTTACAGTAGTTATGTAAGTGCTTATGTTTGAGTTCAGTTTCATCTAAGTTTCAGAGTTGCTCAGCAAAAAGGGACAGACAAATAAGGAACAGTGATTCTCCAGTGATTTAATGAAACTGAAGCTTAAAACTGTTTTTGATCCTGCTGTGTTCGTTTCAGCTTGAAAGCTAATTTTCAAAGAAAACCAATTAATTGTCACTATAAGGAAGCAACTCTCTCCATGTAGTCTATGTTACTCCCACTCAGTTAAAGGTTCCCCATGGAGTTTTTTTTCTGTGACTGGATTCTGTTTAGTTAACCATGCACACGCACGAAAATGGCACACACGCTCAAGTGAGTGAGGCAATACACACTATTCCACTGATTAACAAGGACAATAACATCCCAAGACATGTTTTGATGTGACAGCAAAAGCAGAGAAAAAGAAGACAGCGACTGAGTTAGCATTGAAGTGTGCGTGTTGTTTTTTTAGGAGGATCTATTGTCAGAAATTAAATTTTATATTCATAGGTACGTTTTCATTTGTGAATAATCATCTGAATATAGTAATCGTTGTGTTTTTGTTACCTTAGAATGAGATGTGTTGTTTTTGGATTGCCTTTCATGGAGTCTGCCATGTTAAACTGCCATGTTTCTACAGTAGACCAGAACGGACAAACCAAACACTGGCTTTAGATATGGCTTTTTCTGGAGTTTCATGGCCACTGTAGTGTCTCTTACACGCGTCACAGTCCGTTTTCATTGCCAAGTCGTTAGTTGCAATCTGTAACTTTACCACTACATGCCACAAAATCCTACACAGTGGGCCTTTAAAATACTTAAAAACTCTAATTTGCAAATGTTTTATGAGGTAGGAAATGCCTTCAAAACATTTGTTAGACCTCAAGGATATACAGTGTGTTCTGGTGAGTAACACTGAATGTAAACATAACACATTCAAGTCATGTCTCCAGTCTGTCAGTTAAGTCAAAAGTCTTGAAGTCAAGATGGAAGTCTCAGAGCAGTCAGGTCCAAGTCAAGTTCCAAGTTGTAAAGCTCTGGGAGACATGTGCCGGTCCCCACCCACTAGAGGATAAAAAAGGGATTCAGCAATGAAATGGACCATTTAGAATGGGGAACTAAAGAGGAAAGAAGAAAAATACATAATAAAAATGTTTGCATGTGATGTGTGGGCCTGGAAACTGGTAACTGGTAATACTCAGTGCTGTTTTCTGTCTCTTGAAGTGCTGTTGCTTTGGGACATTGTTGACAGAACAACAAACCACAAGTTGTTCCATCTCCTCTCTGCTGACTCATCTGTCAGACTTCGCTCCCATTACTGTACAATCAGTAGTTGAGATGAGTCATTCACTCATTTACATGACTCTCTTAGCTTTCTGTAAATGCCAAGTTTATATTTGAACGCCAGATAAAAATGAAGTAGTCATGAAACATGTTTCAAGTGAGACATAATCCCCTGGAGCTTTTCAGCAGCCTGTAAAAATCTGAGTCAGCCTGAGAGCTGTAAGGCCTTCATCGGGTGTTGGGCTCCCTGCCTGAGATCACCTTACTCTGCCTGCTTTGTTCTGGAGCACTGTCATCAGTTCTGCAGCATCCCATGGCAGCCAGGGCTTGAATTGTTAGCCACTCTGTTTGCTTAGTGTGTATCTGAGATAAGATGTCACATTTAACAGCACAGTAGGGAAAAAAACAGTTTATCATCTCTGAGAGGTCAAACACCCTGTGTCACTATTAACACTCGTTCTGATTGTCATGTGGTACACACTCCATTATCAAGGGAATGATAGGTTGTTTATGAGCCAGGACACATTCATTATGTCATGACAATTTAATGCATTTTAGTGAAACTATCAATGTTCTATCGAACGATTTTGTTATTGCTATTGACAAAGTGTCTATTACTGATGCATATCACTACTGTTTTACTGCCCAGGCCTATCCCAACCTGGGGGTTGGTATCCCTTAAGAGGTCCCAAGAGAAATATGAGATGATTAACTCATAAATGCAATGTTTTTTTCAAATACACCTCAGGTCTTTGGTGATCCCCACTTATATAATGTACATTAAGCCATATATCAAAATCATATAGCTTGGAAACTTTTTAAGAATGGAGTATTAACAATAACCAACACATATTTTTTACAGTGATTTATATCATTTATTCACCCAGTGAATGTTAATAAGTCCGAAACTGTGAGTGTAGGATACAAGTCATTTTGAGTAATATAACAATTGTGACCAAAATTGAATCATTTTGTTAATTCATTACAAAGTAGAATTTAATTCAGCCTCTTCTGTCATTCCTTAGCTTTTATTTCCTTTCTGATCTCCCCTTCTCTTTTCCCCTCCTCCACTCCTCCTCTCCTCTATATTTTTCCTTCTCCTCGTGTTCTCTCAGCTTGTGCTCATTAGTTAGGTGGAAGAAGGGAATCGTCACATAGCGAGTATAGGGATAAAAACGACATTTGGTTTTCAAATTCTGCTCTGTGATCGATTGAGCTCTCCTCATGTGATGAAGCAGTGGTGGTTTGGTCTACTGCCACTCACCCATTCAGTGTTTTTCTTTAGGCTTTATTACAAAGAGTTTAATTTAGGAACTTCTATTAGTAATGAGTTGAGTCATAAAATCAGAGTGTCATGGTTGTGTGTGACTGCTTATTTGGAGGAACACTTAATGTCTCACTAAGGTACAAGACAAGGTGAAGATGGTACTTAAGTTATAAGGTGTATTGTATATCTGCTTTGAAGCTTGCTGATTAGTTAAAGAGTTCATTCATGAATAGTTTTTTTGATATTCCAGGATTGTACCAGGGTTTACTATAGTTAATGTAAAAACAAATGCTGCAAGCTGCTCTTTGAGTATTAGAAGTGAGGTTTGTGTTCTGGTGCCTTCATGTGCTGTAGAAATTTGTGAATTTTATTGCTTGAGAGCTGTATGTCCATATTAACTGTGCTTCATTTGTGGTGTGACAGCAGAAAGATCCCAGGATTCTGTGGCAGTAGATAGATGATTTTAGCATTAATTAAAATACTACAACATGCAGTAAAGTGCAGCATGACTTACTATGGAACGTTAGAATAAAGTTAATTCAGATTTTCTTTTTATTGGATTATTTCAGTTCATGTCCAAGCCCACAATAACTTTGTTCTAATTTCTGATTTCTTACAAAAAAGCACAACTTGACCAAGGTCTTAAAGTCTGTATGAACATTGAATGAACACTCAGTAAAGAACATTACTGCTGGTTTGGTGATCTTTTGTTGGGTTTTTTTTGTTGTTGTGTGTCCTTCATTATCTGTCTTGTGTGACTAATACCAGTTATCTTTTCTCTTTTATTCTCTTCAGATCCCCATCTCTCTGCGTTTCTCCCTCCCATTCCATCCATTTGTCAGTCGCCTGCTTCGCCCGTCTCTGCAGCATGTCGCTGAAAGTCCAGACCAGTAATGTGACCAACAAGACAGATCCAAAGTCCATCAACTCCAGGGTGTTTATTGGCAACCTGAACACAGCGGTGGTGAAGAAGTCGGACGTGGAGAGCATCTTCTCTAAGTATGGCCGGGTGCTGGGCTGCTCTGTGCACAAGGGCTACGCTTTCGTCCAGTACGCCAGTGAAAGGCACGCAAGGGGGGCCGTGATCGGGGAGAACGGCAGGGTGCTGGCCGGACAGACGCTGGGTGAGTACATGACGCTGCGTGAATTACAGCTCAAAACGGAATTAAAAATATGATGGCCAAAGTGGTTGTGGAAGGTAACTGAGAGAATTTACCCACAAACCTACCTATTTTCCTACCTGAAATGTAAATAATAAGAGTGTATTTTTGGCATGGAAAATGGAGTGTGCATTATGCTTGGCTTTCAGGTGGTTTATGTCACAAGATCAACATTTACTTGTGAGCGTAAGCTTATTGTCAGACTTTGAGTCTTTGAGTTGTCAGGCCTGTTCCCTCCAGGTAAAGCACTAAGGTGTCACATTTAAAGATCAGAGCCGAGCATTAAAAGCCTCAGAATGTATCTGGTGCACTGTTTTATCAGAAAACATTTTACATCAATGCCATACTAGTAGGCACACTGGGATTATGAGTTTAATTCAGGGCACCCGTGACAAGATGCGTTTGTTCATGGAATGTGTTTGGTTAAGCTTCTCTTACATTTTTTGGAAAATAAAAAGCTGAACATGAGGCGAGACAGAAACTGAGGACTCTGATATCAGACACATTACACAGTCATTACAAACTCTGACTTCCACACATTATCACTTACAGTAGCAGCCCTGTGAGAACATCACAATGCTTCCTGCAAGATGTCCATAATTTGTAAGACTTGTGGCAAAATGCCATTGCTGCTTGATGAATGGTTGTAAAAAAAAAATCTTGAGTTGATTGATTAAAGGACCAGTGTGTAGGATTCAGTGGCATCTAGTGGTGAAGATGCAGACTGCAACACCTTCGCCTCACCCTCTCTTTCCAAGCTTAAAGGAGAAACTATAGTGGCCGAAAAACTGTTGTTTGCTGGCTACTGTAGAAAACACAGCAGTTCAACATGGCAGACTTCGTAGAAGAGGACCCGCTCCCACGCTACATAAAAACAACTCATTCTAAGGATATTTCATTTCTGGCAATAAATCCTTTTGAATGTATACACACTGGACCTTTAATGTCTTCAGAACATACACTCTTGGTGACCTCTGAGCACCATTACATCCATTTTCTTCTTGAGTGTTTACATATGCCATTTCTCTCCAATCATACCTCTGTGTTACTGTGCAATAAAATATCAGAGGGGAAATCAGAGTTGAGCGGAGTGTGCCTTTAAGCTGCTGGAGTGTTTTTCTTCTTCTGTCGGTTCCCTCAGCGGAGCAGGAAGGGACGAGCTGTCAGTGAGCTGGTGTGAAGAACTCCACTGGTTTATGTTCAGTCACTGCAGAGCTGCAAGCACATTTCTTTAATAGTCTCTCTCAGTGCAGTCTGTGTGTGAGAAAGAGAAAATATATGAATGAATATAACTGAAACTGTGTGTGTGTGTGTGTGTGTGTGTGTGTGAAAGTGTGTGCATCTTAGTGTGTGTTCTGGGTTGTAGGGTTAATTGCTATCTTACAAATACTTGTCAACACACACACACACACAGATGGAGCCTTCTGGGAAATATACCCAGTATTACTGTGTGTGTGTGTGTGTGTGTGTGTGCAATGTGGGATAAAGCTGTGACAGCTAAGGGCCTGCTAAGTGATGCTCTCTGCCCCACTACAGCTTTTGTGTGTGTGTGTGTTGCCATGGGGATCATATGAAATTCTTTTTCTATGTACCACTTAGCTACCACACTATTTCCTCCCTTAACTTGTCTCTGTACCATTTCCCTCTTTTTAGCTGTCCAGTCATCCCTGCTTTAGTGGGATGACATTGAGTTTAAACCGTTTTAACACATACCGCAAAACTTCCTGTCAGAGGGCATTGGGGTAACTCAGATTGGTAAACTAAGAGCAATTCTTCTGCGTATGATCTCGAGCCATGACATTAAATGTCCTAAACGTCATTGGTAACATCTCAAAATCAATCCTAAAACAATCAGGCAACAGTGAACAGTGTTCTGGTAAACAAATGAAACTATGCTTACATTCAGTGTTTGTGTGTGTGTATATTTTAGGTCGACTATATGTCTTCCCTTTTTTATATATTTTCTTGGTTAACTCAGTGCTATAATTTTTGGTGCATTACCACCAACAGCTTTCTATCAGTGGAACAGCATAAAACCAATAACAGGATGTGAGTTGTTTCACCTGTGAGCCACAGTGCCTGCATCATGCGAACAAAACGGGGACCCACTTGTAAAAAACATTGCTCCCTGCACTACCGGGCAAAAACTCTAGTTTCTGCCAAGAAATTAATTGGCATGTCCTCATGAAACAGGTGGAGCTCAAAATTTGGTGACAGAGTAACTACTTGCTAGTTTTTGAGCTACTGTGACAGGTGCATTCTAGTTAGCTCGTAACAGTTTGCCAAGGTAAATGGCAGTTACCTAAGTTAACCAGGGGGGCTGACAGTTAGATTGGAAGTTCAGTTTCTAACTAGACAGTAACGGTTAATGGGGAAAATTTGCAAAGGTGAACAAAAGCATTCGCCCCTGTTTAACTGCTGGTTGGACCACCCACCAACAGATCTGGAGGGATTTTTAAAAAAAACAGACAAGAGACGAGCTACTGAAAATTCAATAATACTGCACAACATGGAATATAGTCACACTTAGTCACACATTTTTAATTTTGACCCAATACAGTTAGTATTGTATTGTATCTGGGCACTTCTTGATGTTTGCTTGGTGAAAACATAAAGATAACAAACCTGAGAACTCTGAAATAATGACAGCAGCTGAGGGGACAATTGATTCACAAACTGCTTAACAAACTGCTAACAGGAGCTGACAGCTTCCAATTTCTTGATCTGCAAGGAAGTGGCGTGAAGTGTTTTTGGACAGACTGAAATGACTTTCTGCTCAGAGAGACGTTGGGAGAGTCGATAAAGTATGTTTGTGTGTGTGTGCTGCGTTCAGGGACTTTTACCCTGCAGGAGAAGAGAGTAAAGTCACTGAGGCATATGGAGCAGTAGGTGGACTGTGTGTGTGTGTGTG